TGAGAGAGCGTCACTTTGAGCCGGTTATCGTTTATGTAACCAGTAACGAGCGCGGACTTCGTTAGTGTAAGCGCATTTCACGCAAAAGGTTACTTTGAGCTCGCCGAGAGAAGTAGGACGAGAAGGGGTTGGATGGGGGGGGGGAGGGAGGAAGGGAGAATGCGAGAGAGGTGAAGGGGAACGGGCGAGGGGACGGGGGTAGATCCCGAGCGCAATTACATTATACGCCCTCCCTAATTAGCGGAATTTCCGGCTTGCAACACGACATGTTGTGTTCGCGGCGGATAAACGAGTCTGAAGTCTAAAATAACGTTGCATAATAAAATTAAACAATGCGAGCGTTGCTGTTAATTAGCGGCGGATTTGGAACGAGATAGAGATTGAAGCACGTGTGGCACGATCGGGGGATCATTTTTAGTGATTGGAGCATCGCGACACCGCGTGACCCACTGTAAAATCCATTCCCGCTTTTTGTTAAAATTAACGACCAATGCAAAATTTTCGTTACTCAAACGGAGCAAATTGCGATCTCAGAAATATCAAATGCGAAATATCAAATTTCTTTCAAATTTTCGCAGTTCGCGTTGGCACTTAGACACTCGACCAGGTAAAAACGTTTTACATCCTTGGCATCCTTGTATCTTCTATTTCAAATTAGATTATTGCTAATTCCAATGTATATTATGCTTCGGCATTAAAAATAATATCTTGATGCACTTATGCAATTAAATGTTTATAATTTAACCGTGACAAAAAGTCATCCATTAACGAAGTAGAAACAAAATCAAACCAAAATTGAGGAGCTACATTTTGTAGATCAAGAAAATGATAGTGCTTCAGTTTCATATCGGATTTCAACGCCGGAAGAACAAAAAATTACAACGTTCAACATTATCAACCTTATCCGACGTTCCCCATATTCTATTTTTATGTTTCTGCCGGTTGTATCTTTGAAAGGACGCCGTACGCCATATAGAGTTGTAATGAAATTCTGACATACAGAGCGATTCGAGAACAAATATCTGGTGTACGCATTCGGGAGTTCAAAATAAATAGAAAAGTGTCAATTTACATGCACAATTTACAAACCTGTTCACAAATGCATCAAAGTTGTTGCGTGACACTCACTAAATTACCCTATATATATTCCTTTACATAGTATATTCGCACTAATAAACCGCTATACGCACTTGTAAAATTACGTTAGATATACAAGACACCAGAACGCCGTTCTATACAAGTTTACAACTAGAAGTTTACAACACTGTTCCTTAAGCGAATCATAATTAATTTTCTTAAGAAGCATGAAATCAATTGTCGTAAAAATCTAATCCCTCCTAAGATCTTTCAATTTACTTAAAAATAAAACATCCCTCATATTTTTTAAGTATTATACAAAATTTTATAAGTGTGATTTTTATCACGCAGTAATAATTAATTTTTAATCCTTTATCAAGAGCTGTTGATACCGTAACAAGAAGTTGCGAAAAAATATAGGAATTTCTGGGAATTTTACTATACGAATGTGTTAGATTTACGGATATTTTGGGGGCGGAGTAGGGGATGGTCGGCTTTGAAAAAATCCGTGCGACGGGGATGACTTATGCCGCGTTTTCATGCGGCGTCGGGACACCTTGCGAAGAGTGAAAAAGGACCGCGCCATCATAAATCAGCACATTAATTCGTAACGAGATTAGTATAATAAATCATCGTCCACCCGGTATTTGCATATGCCGTGCATTACTCTCGTCATGTGACCCTCGTCTTCCGGATGGTCGACGTTAAACGTTGATGACGTTCGCGAAGTGAATATCACAATTAATATTAATCCGAGTTTTCCAGAACTTTCAGAGTTAAACAAAAAATGAATGCATTTTTACATAAATTTACGAATATGCGAACATTTGCAAAAGTTAAGCCAAAAAGGTCTTGAAAAATATGAAACGCGGAACGTGAGATACAAATGTCAAAATAAATTGCAAAATAAAATCCGCATTGAAGATTAATTTTTTTAACAGGTACGAGACGACATTATTTCATCAATTTTGTCACTTGTTGTCTCAAAAGTACGTGCTGTAGTAGCGAAGTAGTAAATTACCGAAATCGAGAGGCCCGCGCTTAGGTTCAATCTCTCTCGGGGGTGTTTTTTCAGAGCACTCGAGGGTATCGTTGGGCGTTTTCGTCTTTTTCGCGTCACCCGGTAGAAAAGATCGATTCGCTTTTTGGGAGATACAAGCAGCGTCAAAGGGTTAAAGCTTATCGCGTGGGAACTCTTTTACTCCGTTCGTTCGCACACCCAATGGAATTAGCCGTCGCTAACCATCCTCCCCCGTCTACCACCCCCGTCCGTCTGATCCGCGCCAATAAGAACGACAAGCGCGCGTGCGCGTCCTTTCTTTCTTCGTTTTCTCTCTCTCTCTCTCTCTCTCTCTCTCTCTCTCTCTCTCTCTCCCTCGCCCTCCCTTCCTCCCTCTCTCCCGGGATGGCAGTTTCTCCGCCACGATTACCCCAGAAATCTTTCTTCGGCTAATGCAAGAACTGTGTTTCCGGCGGTTCGCCCGATGCTTCGCCTACCTCCGGGGGCGGACAAGCACGTACACACGCGGGCGGGCGCGAGCGCGCGGACGGTGGCGTGCATTTACAAGTGCGACTTGCCGCAGGGGTGAGAGGGGCGGAAAGCGGGTTAGAAATAGAAGGGTGGACAGCTCCTGCGCGCGCTATAATGCGGGAACCGGTGAGAAATATTTGGGCAAAAGAGCAAGGGGGAGCACGGGCTGCTTCCGAATCGGGAACGGGGTAATTTGCAAGCTGCAGAAATTCGTGGAAATTTAAAAGAGAGCTGTTAACTCCTGAGATTTTATATCGAGCTTAACGCGTTCCACGCTTTGGAAATTCGAGCGCTCTTTCCGAATAACGGTCCCATCGCTCCTTTCGCGCCGCGGAATGCACGATTCATTCGTCTTGTCTAATTTCCTTCGCGTTATACGCGAAGCGCAGCGTAATAAAACAGACTGCGAAACGCATAACACTTTCTGCTTTGGCTGGTTAAGAACGAGTCGAAGGACGTGTTTGCACACGACATAATTACAAATTTGTGCGAAACACACCCGCAAGGGTGAAGGAGCGCGCGCGCCCAGTAGAGACGGGCCGAAAAAGGTTGTATCGACGCGAGGTAGGAAGAGTGTCCTGAAAAATTCGACGCTGATACGCGCATTCGATACTCGAGAGGTAGCATACGTGGCACATGTAGGACATGAAGGACATGGATTATACGAGGACGTGTAGGATACGCCTCAACAATCTCACATGTCCCACGGGCATGTTTCGAAAATCTCATGAACGTTTTTCACAGATGACAAATAAACGTATGAATATTTCAGACCTCTACAAGTTTCCATAAAGATCACGGTTCTTTTGCGTTCTGTCTACAATATATCTGTCCCTCGCGAAAGACACTGTAATGCGTAATTACTGGAGCAAGACGTACGAAATAAAGTTACGCTGCATTACTCTCGATCTCCTTTATCTCTCAAATTATTTTTCTTAAAAATTCCTGCACATACACGGTTCTAAAGAGAGGCATTTCCACCTTGCGTATCCGTTCATGCAATTATACATTTGATAACGCGATGCACTGGCGAGCATATTAATCAGATTGAAGGAGGCGCGAACAGGCTCATTCAAACAAATGCGATGCAACTGAACGTAACCGGGCCGTTAAAATTAAGCTTCATTGTCGTAGATTTGCGCTAATTACGTAGCATTGCCCACGTTCGACATAGAGACGGCAATACGTGATTCGCTCTACTTAGCCGGTTGCGATGCTTTATGGTGTGCGGCCGCGTATTTACCATCGTACTCGGCGCTAAGTCCCGGATTTCAATCCCATCGTCGCCGTTTGTTTATTTCACGCGTGTGGTTTATTCAGGGGCTCTGCCTTTGTGTAAGACGGACTGTGGCGCGTGTGTCATAACCAAACGTGCGATCGGAGGGATATATCCCTACGGCCGGCCACAGCCGAGTTTCCGCAGTTTCTGTACGTCCTAATGCGAATGCGGTGTTTCTAATTTAATATCTTAAGGACCGGCATTTACCCACGTCAGCTATGCCAGATTAGGATGTCAGACGCAAGGGAAATACACGCGATTCCCATAATTTACGTCTGCGTAAGTGACTTTTCACTAAGCGAAAACTCCTCTTTTCTATTCCAATAAAGCGAGCTTACAAATTGTTCCGCAAAAGATCTCCTTATTCTACATATAATAATAAAATACAACATTCTCGTCGTCCCTCACAAATCAAGATAATTTTGTTTAAAAAAAAAAAAAAAATCGATACGGCGTTGTACAAAAATGTACTTCAATACTCTCGATATTGCACCTTCAATATTTATCACAGACTCGCGGTGCTTTTTATATTCCTGCGCTAGTCATAAATATGTCTTATGGAATATGCTCGGTGTCATTTCGCCCCGCTAAACGCTAAGAGTGATACACTTTCTCCCAAGTGTTGAATAAATAATCATGTCAAAGCGATCTCCCGTATTTGCCGGCATGTTACCCATATTGCCGCCGTTGCATATTAATGCGAACCCCTTTTTCCATCCTTGTGTTTCATTATCGTTTTACAAAGTGTCAATATGTGTCGATATGTCGATAAAAAAAAGTTTTTATCGCCATAATCCTATCGCTATAGGGATTTTCTATGAATAACCGATTTTTTTTTCTTTCCAGAAATACCACGTGCAAAAAACTATTTTTCTAATCCGTATGTGCACGGTACATAAATATTATAAAACGCGCGATGCAATTATAGGATATGATACATTTATAGAATTCGCACAATAATATCTACAGTTTTTTTACAGCGTTGTCGGCTGCATAAAACCTTTTTCAACTTGAAACTTGATTCTCTACGAATACGGCACGTCCAACCTTCTTTTGTGTCTCTTTAAACAGCTCTCCAAATAATATGGCAAAAGAATAGAAGAGTTCACTCACCGAGAATCTGGCTGAGGACGGTGCGGCCATCTTCACCGAGGCACGCACTGCGTGCGTCAAACGGATTTGTGAACTGCACGAATGCGTAGCCCTTGTGCATAGAGATACCTGTCGGAAAGATATAAAAAAAGATCAATTACACTTCGTAGACTTCGTAAAATAAACAAAATTGCATACATTAATATCGATGTCTTCAATCGTTTTACACTAAATACTGTATGTGTACTAAATATATTATCTTTAGTACACATACAAGTTTTTTTTATTATTTTATTGTTATTCAATATAAACTTTATATTATTTATCCATTAATCATTATCCATTAATCAATATTTAAAAATTTAACACGCAGTTTGTAACAACAGTAAGCAACATGATTGTTTATCTGTACGTTATAAACAAGCTCGGAAAAACGGTAAAATATCTCCTCAATACGCTGATATAAAAAATATATGGTTTCATTTGAACATTTATTTTTTAACCTTAAAATAATTTAAAAAATATCTTAACAAAATATAACTTATGAGGTTTTTTACAATGGAATAAATTCTATCTGAAAAATACTCGGCACGGAGCTTTTAATAATGGGGATGTGATCGAGTCAGTTCTTTTAAATAAACCATTCTGTATATGTTTTATACATGAGAGAATTGCGAAATAAATGATCGAAATTTATAAAAAAATTAAACAGGAGAGAGAATCGCGTGATTCTAGGAATATTCATAAACATTTAAAAAATATATAATACATCGGCGGAGTGCGCTGTGTAACGGTACAACCGTATGTAACTTTCTCAAGTAATTGTTTTTTTCCCCCTCCCCCCTTTCTCCAGAGAACTATAACGCACGAGTAGAGCGTACATAGAGCGAAATTTTAATTAGATAAACTTCAACCGGGAGCAAAAATCTCC